AAGAAGGACATGGAACTGTTGGAACAAGACCAGAGAAGGGCCACGAGGATGATCAGGGGACAGAAGCACCTACCATATGAAGATCGGCTGAGAAAGTTGGGGGTGTTCAGCCTGGAGAAGAGAAGGCTGCATGGAGACCTCATAGCAGCCTTCCAGTATCTGAAGGGGGCATATAGGGATGCTGGGGAGGGACTCTTCATTAGGGACTGTAGTGACAGGACAAGGGGTAATGGGTTAAAACTTAAACAGGGGAAGTTTAGATTGGATATAAGGAGGAAATTCTTTCCTGTTAGGGTGGTGAGGCACTGGAATAGGTTGCGCAGGGAGGTTGTGAGTGCTCCATCCCTGGCAGTGTTCAAGACCAGGTTGGACGAGGCCCTGGGTGACATGGTTTAGTGTGAGGGGTCCCTGCCCATGGCAGGGGGGTTGGAACTTGATGATCTTAAGGTCCTTTCCAACCCTAACTATTCTATGATTCTATGACTGGAAAAAGGGAAACACAACCCCCATTTTTAAAAAGGGAAAAAAGGAAGACCCAGGGAACTATAGGTGAGGCAGTCTCACCTTGGTGCCTACCAAGACAATGGAGCAGATACTCCTGGAAATTAAGCTAAGACACATGGAAAATAAGATGATTGGTCACAGCCAACATGGCTTCACTAAGGGCAAATCATGCCTGACAAATTTGGTGGCCTTCCACAACGGAGTTACACCATTGGATAAGGAGTGTGACCAGCAGGTCAAAGGAGGTGTTCCAGTCCCTCCACTCTGTTCTTGTGAGACACCACCTGGAATACTGCGTCCAGCTCTGGGGCCCCCAACACAAGAAGGATATGGGCCTGTTAGAGTGAGTCCAGAGGAAGTCCACAAAGATGATGAGAGGAATGGAGCACCTCTTCTATGGAGACAGGCTAACAATTGGGCTTGTTCAGCCTGGAGAAGAGAGGGTGCCAGGGAGACCTTAGAGCAGCCTTCCAATACTTAAAAAAAAAGTCTCCAGCCTTCAAGAAATCTGGAGAGGGACTTTTTACAAGGGCATGTAGGGACAGAACAAGGGAGAATGACTTTAAACTGACAGTAGATTTCTATGAAATACAAGGAGTACGTTCTTTACTGAGAGGGGTGAGACACTAGAACAGGCTGTCCAGAGAAGTTGTGGATGCTCCATCCTTGGAAGTGTTCAAGGCCAAGTTGGATGGGGCTTTGGGCAACCTGGTCTAGTGGGAGGTGTCCCTGTTCATGGCAGGACGGTTGGAACTAGGTAATGTTTAAGGTCCTTTCCAACACAAACCATTCTGTGATTCTGTGACCAATTTTCACAGTGGAGGGAAGTTTAGTGGAATAACACAATGATGTGTACTGGGATTATATTAATAAGATGAAAAACTGGGTAAATAATGAAGTATGCTGATGATACTCAATAATTCAAGATAGCAAAAATGCAATTTGTCTGCAAAGAATACAGAAACATCTCATGATATTGAGCAACTGGATAATACCAGGGCAAAGTAAATTTAATTCTGACACTTGAGAAATATTGTTGTGGTTTAAGCCCAGGACAATCAGGCATTAGCAAAATAACACCTATGTGTATTCACATATACACAGTGTTATAGCTGAGTTCTTGGTGTTATGTGGACAAGGCTCTCAAAATATCAATTCAGTGGCTATCATCTGCCAGAACAGTGTATAAAGTGTTAGGAATAAGTAGGAAAGAAATCAAGGGCAAAAAAGAAAACATCATTGTGCCAGTGTATAAATGTTTTGCATTGCTCCAACCACCACAAAGAGGAATTACTAGGTTGAGGTGAAGTGCAGAGCAGGTAACTGGGATACATAAAGCTTCCATACAGGAAAAATAAGGTCACATCTACTTTAGAAAGTAATTAGGTGCTGAAGGCTGAGCTGACAGATCAAAGCAATTGATGCTGAGAGCTCTACACCTGAAGGGAAATCATTTCAGGCTAGATTTAGTTCAGTCACCTGGGCTGAATGTCCTTACTACACATGGGGTCCAAAGCTGCCTGTGGAACCAGTCATTGGTTTAGACCCTTCTGTTTCTGGTAGGACTTGTAACATGTTTACAGCAACCCTGAAGCACAGATTTCAGTTTGGTACAGCCAGAGCAACCAAGAAATGAATAGTAAATGAAAGTAATTGCTTCAGACCTCACACTGAATAAAAATGCCAATGTAGATAGAGAGTGGTTGCCTTTTGTTTGTTTATTTGTGGGTTTTTTTAATCAGTCATAGGATTTTCTTGTTCAAGGCAGAAGAAAGGTGATTGGAAAGGGCTATAATAGAGGTCTGTAAAATTAAAGAGTACTTGGGAAGGGTAAACAAGGAACAATGATTCACTCTTTTTTCTAACATCAGAAGTAAAGATGCCAAATGAAATTATCAGGCAACAGGCTTAAAGGAAAAGGAAGTACTTTTTCACACACTGCATAATGAAATTGTGAAACACATTACACAGGATGCTTGCAAGGCCAAAACCATAAATGAGTTCAAAAAGAAATTATACAAATTAATGGAAGAAAGGTCTGTGATGAGTTAAACCTGATAATGTAGATGCAATTTGCAGAAGAAGTGACAGATTTTCTGAAGCTAGAACCACAGTTTACACTCCTTATACTTCCTCCACTACCAGACACAGTCAGAGACATGATGTTGCACTAGATCTTTGTTTTGGCCTCATATTCTTCTCAGGCAACTGTATCCCAAAGTTGCTGCTATAGTGGAAAACCCCGTATTCAAAGTTCAGGCACAAAAATGTCATCAGATTTACCTCTCACACATTTGTGGTCTTAACAGCCCTTTTTGGTGCCTTCTGATTTTTAAGCAATCTCTGATTATCACTGATGTGTGAAACAGCTATTGCATGCATATTCACAGTGACTAACAGGCTTCACCTTGGCTGAACACCCTTCCGATACCTTCAGTTCAGTTGCACTTTCTGAACCTGAGGAACAGTGTCTGAGAAGAGTAGGAACAGTGAAAAAGTATTAGCAAGGACTTTGGCTGTTCACTAGCAAGTATTGAAAAATACTTGCTATTCAATACTTGCAATTCAGTAGCAAGTGTTACCAAAAAAGCATCCATAAAGTAGAACAAATGGTGCTGAGCTCCCCATATCTGCGCTATATGTGCTTGTCTGGGGATTAATTTAAACTAGCTTTAGTCTGATCCCAAGGATATGAATACTACTGGCAATCGGATCACACTAAAAGCATTGCTGGAGCACATACTACAGTTGAGTTTCTTCCAAAAGGAATCCAGTTTGCATGCTCCAGAAATACCCCACAGTATGAACCAGAGCTTAGTAGGAGTGTGGGGGGCAGTCAGGAGATTTACTGTAGAAAAATGTGCCTGATCCAAACTCAAATGCTAATATGGTACACCCACTGACTACTACAAGAAGGCTTTGTAAGGGGCTATTGCCAATGTGCCGTAAGGTAAGAATTTATCCTACTGTGAACAATTAAAGTTTTCCAAATCATTCCCTTCTTTTTCTTTCCCCTCCCTACAATTTACATTTTGATTGTGTCGACCCATTTATTTAGTAGTTAATTCATTGCTCGTAAGCTGAGAAATATGGCTCATTGAGCTTATAGACAATGTCATTTATTTTCCCATTTTTTAAGCAAGGGCTTGAACGGTTTTGTCTTCTTTTTAAATAAAGCTTCCTAGACATCATCAAGAAGTCATATGTGGTGGGGGCACACCCATGAGATCCATGATGCCACAACCACAACATACAGCTCTCAACATTTGTGCTAAACATACAAGGCACTAGGAGCACACTGCTTGTGTATCTTTCCATTCAAAACTGTGTCCCTGTCATGCAAGCTACTACATATGTATATTACACAGGAAGGTGTCTGCTTTCCAGAGTTATGAAGGTGGGGCGAGATAGCGACTGAGCAGCCAGAGCTAAATTCACCATATTCAATTTAGGGACCAGTGTGTTTGCACTGGGCAGAATTCAAACCAGCTTTTTGTGGGTGACATTCTTACTGGCAATGGTCATTAGCAACAGCAAATCTTAACAGAGTCTGATAAACCACTGGGAATCTGCCTTAATTTCAGGAGAGCTAATGTAAATGACAGGTTAATGACATCAAGTTTTAGACCCTACACCCGCTGCATTTTTTTCTCTCTTGGCATGCACAGGCCAATACACAATCTCTCTGTCCCAACCTAATCTTAGAAACAAAAAAAACCCCATCACCAAGCAGTTAAACAACATAAATGATAGTATAGCAGAATGGCCACATTTGCTTATAAATAAAATGTAAAAGCATTACACATGTATTTGTTTTTCACTGAAGAAGATGTAAGAAACATGCATGTAAAGAAAGCATAATCCATTTTGACTTCAGTATCTTCCAATTTGCAATATTTCATATTTTCTAGAAAGGGTAAGATGCAACCAACATGCCCATATGACATAAAGAGCAGTGGGAATTATAGTTCAATAATGCAGTACAGATAAGCCTAGTTCAGAGGCAATCATCAGGCCAATGAGCTGCAGTTTACAGGGGAGGAGTCAGTGTAGCCAGTGGGACTTAATAAGATAATCTAAAAAAAGTGCTTAACCTTGCTATGCCACCTCTTCATCTGAATGGAAACACATTCATATGCTGAATTAAACCAATGTGCACATCTTTATTGGTGACATACATTGCAATTCCTTTAGTCCCTCAGTAGTGTGGCAGGATATGCAAGGTGAAGGCCAGGGGAGGGAAATTACTAACGACTGTGTGCCAGAAGCATGCTAAGGATACATCTTTCCTCCCACTGAATATTGAATTTTATTTCAAGCTGCTAGTAGGAGTAAATGACATTACACTTAAGTTCCTTTAAAGACAAAAAGTTGTGTCTTTTAGGTTAAAAGCCATCATAGTTCTACTAAAATTTTCACAACAAATATAAAATAATTTGCTGTGGTAGTAATAATTCAGAGCTCTGGCTGAATCGAATTTAAACTTTTCCTCACAGATGTACTTCCAAATTTCTTATGTTTGCAGTAGTTCATACTATCACATCAACCCAACAATTCAGGTAAAACTGAAGTGGGGGAGGTCACATGCAGCTGGTCTTTGCTATTTATATATATATATGCACACACAAATATATATAGCTAGCGATGATACTCTTGTAACAGAAAAACAAAAAACAAATCTGTTGTGGTTTAATAAAAGGGGTGCTTCTCAAACTGTTTCTCAGGATACGCATTGAGTTGTAGCTCGACAAGTGCCAGGACAATAAGTAACAGTATAACTGCTTCCTCCAACAGGATTTCAGAGCAAGTAACAGTACACCCATATTATTCAGGCCTGGAAAGTAAGAGTTTTCTTGCAGGATAATGTGTCCTGCTGTGATTTCGCTTGCAACTGAGGGATTGATGTTTCTTTATGTGGAGGGCAGAGTAGCTTAGCAGTGCATGGTGTTCCCAATACTACCTACACTAATACTCTCAGCCACATATATGAGAGTTGTGAGGTTGAAAATCTGAATAATAATATACTAAGATCCTTATGATGTTGTGATATTAATTTACATCAAGAAGGAAAGCTGCTCTGAGCCCATGTTAGAGCTTGGGTGCTTCCACAATTTGCTTTTCCTTTTTCAACCTTTCTCTACCCCAAACCTGAATCTTAACTGAAGGTCAAGTATTGAATCTGCAAAGATTAGGCTGCTCTGTTTTCAGTCTCCTTTGGAAGTAAATTCTCTTCTGCATGATGTCTAAGTAGATGGTACTATACTAAATGGCTTCAGCTTCATTATCTCCCTTTTCTTGCTACAGCCTGATTGCAAATGTTCACAGCAGTGTACTACAAAGAAAGGTGGAGTTTTAATGACACTCTCAGGGTATGATATCTGATCACCAATCCCACACTACACACCTTTCTACAAATAGCCTTGCAAACAGCTCCAGTGTTACACATAAACCTTTATGTTGGAGCACTATGTTCAGCAGTTCCTCATTGGAAGAAATAGTCCCCAAAAATCTTACAGAAGCAGAACTTGGTAACATGATATGTAAAGCTCTGATGTGTAGAAAACATCCGTTTATGAGATTTGCTTAATTCCATATTGCAAGTAGCAGAGAGGGATGGTGCATACTTTTTGTCTCATTTCTAAATGCAAGTGCCCTCATAAAAACAAACAAAATGGAGTCTTACTGAATACCTGCTGCTTCAGTGACAGTTATCAATGTTATGGTATACTTTTCTGCCTATGCTGCTACATATTTATACCTTGTCAAAATGTTAACTTTTTTTTTTTTTTTCTGTAGAACCTATGGCTCTTTTAAAATTTAAAAAGGTAAAAAAGACTTTTTAAGTTTACTCTGTTTGTATATCTGACCAATGAGGCTTTAAATCTCTGACCATCTAACATCTGAAAAAGGAAACCAACAATAAAAATAACAAACAACCGCCTTGTCGAGATTCACATACAAGAGTAGGAAGCTGTTAGAGGCTGAATTTCTGAAACCTGTGTTGGATTCACAAAGCTGGCTGGAAGGAAATATTTATATGCATTTTTTAAAAGATCAGTTCATGACAAATCCAAAGAGGAACGAACCTAGTGAGCTTGCTTCCTTTCTCATTTGTTATTTTTCATAATTGACTTCTATTAGATTGGATTATAAAGTAGACTCAAATTACTGACTCACCAATCCCAAGAAGGCAAGTCTTTAAAGTAATGAGATTAACAACTGTTGATCAAAGAAAATTACCATACTTGCAAGGCTCTGCATTTGTTGGTGAAATATATTGTTAGAAAGTGATCACATGGGCTGGTTGAGTGGCTAGTTCAGGCTGGCCAACACAGAGAGCTTCACATAGGAAAATTACTTCTACAGGAACAGAGGTCCCCCCACAGGAGATAACACTCAGTTGGAACTCAGAAGTTCAAAGATTTCTTCTTTCAGAGACGCTAAAAAATGTAGCAAAAATGGGAAAGGAACTTCCCATAATAAGCAGACTTTGCTCTGCCAAACTAAGCTCATCACAGCGTCTTTTATTATTCCAGAAGCTCTGCAAAGATCTCTGGGTCCATTGGGAGGCTGTGTGGTAATATCGGGAATTAAATGAAATGGTCTCTGGAGGCCATGATTCTTCCCAGAGTTTCTGTGAAACGTGCCACAGTAAATGCTCCAAAGCATCCTCGGGAGAGGGTAGTCCATGGGTTTCCCTGACAGCAGTTTGGAGACATGGAAACCTTCCCACCATTCTCAGGGCAAATGCCAACATGACAAGAAGAGGATCAAGGTGGAATGGGTGCTCTTGGGCACAGGGAGCTGAGGGAAGATGAATAATAAACAAAGCAGCCAGGCAAGATTAATTTGAACCCCTTTAGCCAGATGGTGATTAGATTAAATGTATTCTATCCACTTGGGCAAGAAATCAATTTGTTGCTCCACATGGCTGTTAGCAGGATAGATTAGCTTCATGGCAGTAGAGGCTCCAAGGTTTGGGATAAGCATTCCTGAAAGAGGAAACTGAATAGAGACAATCTTTAATACTACTTTCTTGTTTCTATTCTCTTACCATAGAAAGCTAAGTTGGGCTTGCATACTTATGTAGACTGTAGAACAAAGAAGAGTAGGAACTTTTTCCCTCAGTCCTACTTATATCCACTTTGAAATTCCTCAGTGAAAAAAGAAAAGAAAAAAACTAGTAGGGAAAAAACACATTTTGAACAGAAACAAATGAAAATGAAAAGTCCAGCTCTGCTATCTAGGTGATTACTTTTATACTCAGTCTGCTTTGAGCCTTTCTGATGCGATGGACTCCTTACCAACACATACCTTGAAAGAGACCTTTTTAAGTACTGTAACCCAGTGCTTACAGTGTGATGGTGGTAAGGACTTGAAGGACCCCATTAGAAAGCACCCTGTGAAGCAGAACCTCAAGAAGCTGAATTGCCCTTACCACAGATCACATTTCCCTATAGCCCAAAGATATATATTTTGTTTTGCTTTCAGTGTGCATCAAACTTCCCCTATTCTGAAGAAGCAAAAAAAACCCAGCTACTATTTGCTATTAAAAAGAGTTTAAATGTTTACAGACTGTACCATTTTATATGTTTTAGCACAGCATGATCATGAAGGAAGTGACTTGAAGCAGTTGTGATTTCAGGATATGTCAGTTGACCTTAAAAGTAACCATGAATTTCAGCACAGTGATTTCCACAGGCAAATATGCACATCTATCCACGTTCATGTCAAGAGAAAGATAGGAACTAGAATCTCCAAACGTCAAGCTCATTAAATTATTTTATTTTTAAAAAGCCATCAAGAGCAACAGCAGAATCTCCCATTCCTACCCCTCCCATTCCTATCCTCCATCTGACTAGCCATCAGATCAAGGTTAGGTCCAGTTAGGCTTGATTCCCTATTCCATAGTGAAGCTTTCCAAAATGCTATCTAAAAAAAATTGCTGGAAAAATTAGTAAAAGGCAGGAAAATTTACCTGGAAATGAACCAATTCATGCCAGAGACTCAGTATTTACTTCATAAATCACAAATCCTCTCTACAGTCAATCAGTGCACTCTCCAGCAGTCTAGCCCTAGCTCACAGCCAGGGCAGAAGGCAATCCATGGACTAAAGTGAAGAAGTATCCTCCTAAGGAGAGCAAGAGGAGGAAAAAAAAACCCCAAAGAGATTCCAAATACACCTTTAATTTTATGTGATTACCTGCTTCAATGAGGCTTTGGCCAAGGAAGTTAAAAAGCATCATCAGATTTCTACTTCCTGGTCAGGATGCAACTGCAGTAAGGGAACTGCCTCTTAGTTTCAGCTTCTCTTTTAGCCAGTCTGACCAGTAGATCCTGATTCAGGCTCAGGATCAAGCCTTACACTGAACCTCGTGTGCCTGCTAGCACCAGTGCCTCTGACTATTTCTGAAATACTGTAGGGTCAGAGTACAAGAGAATTCAGCTGAAAAACTGATGCTGAGCTGTGTGGGATTTGAAAGGCCCCTGAAGGCTGTAATTTCCTTCAATGATTTTGGTGCTATTATATGCTCAATACTATTTCTGCCAGAAGTTTGTGTTCTGGCAAGTTCCTAGCTAACAGTATGAGAATGGGGGAAGACATTTCTTTTAAGGACTCATTTCCTGAATTATGCATCACTAAAGAACATTGTGACAAATTATTTTGCAGAGCCTGTTAAATAATATAAAAAGGGGGTTCCAACACATGATCACGGATAATTACTTTAAGAGCAGCTTAACAAGTAACCCTTTCTCAATCTTGCTACTGTAATTCCCCATCTGCACTTAACCTGCCTAAAATGGAGAGGCAAAATGTACCATTTAAACCTTTGCTTTAACTTAGGGTGTGAAGTGAGCCTCAGTTTTGTGAAGAGAGCTGACACTTTTACAGAGAATTCACTTGAAAAACAAATTGAGTCAGTGTGTTTTGTGCCAGAATAATTTCTATCATTAAGAAAGAGAAAACAAAACAAAAAATAGAAAACCAGCGCCTGACCTGGAATTTTTTATGAATGCTGGAGTAACAAATAGAGGGCACATGTTGCTTTGTGCAGTGAATAGAGGGAGAAACTGGAGCTGCTGGAGAAGCAAAGGGGAAAGAGTGAAGCACAGAGGGGTTTCCACAGGAGAAGGCTGTAAGGACACAGGGCACAAACCCATAACAACAGTGGCTTCACTGATTCCTACAGCACCTTTGTTTTGGAGGGGGAAACCTTTTCATTATTAGGTCCCATTGTGCTATTTTGAACAAGAAACCTACTTTCATTACCCGGAACCAACATTAACCCTCTTCATGTCTGTCAGACTCAATCTCAGATGTCTAGCAATTACTTGAAATTGAACTCAAAACAATACTGATGTTTTATTGATAGCTTCTCATCAGTTGCTTGCTGTTTCATGCCTTTCAGCCAATAGCCTGGAGAGCATCCAATTCTCCTACACCATGCCCAACAGGGTCAAATTTCAGTGAGGTTATTGATTGTGACTTGACATTTAAGGAACATATGACCACTGTGACATAAACAGCTTTATATCAGCTTATAAGTATTGCCAGGCTGAGAAATTCCCTTTCTCATGCTGAAAGTCGAAACATTATTTCCTTCTTTCTCTTGCTGGCTCAGCATCTCAATACCGTAATTCGCATTTTCCCTAGATTCCCAAACTGTGCAGAGATAAATGCTACTGTGAGAGTTATTCCAGGTAGCCAATCCTGGAGCCTCTGTTGGCTGGACTAAACAAAATTAGTCAGGTCTTGCCTAGCAAGAATCCCAAAGAGAAGAAGCAGTAGATGTGTCAATACTTCATGGATTTTTTTAATGAAATCTCTCAGCAACAGAAAACCTTTCTTTCTTTTCTTTTTTGTTACTGTGGTCAGGCTCTGGCCTTTTACTTGCTGGGAAGGATGGAGGGGGTCTGTCAAGAGAAGGTCAGCGTCTTGAAGATGTAACTTATTTGTGGTGAAACTGGCCTTTGCAAGGGCAAACCAGTGCTATTGTATTCCGCTGATTCACATTTTTAGAACTCCTTTTTAGATCAAAACCTAAAGCTAATGGTCTGTTTACTGATATACTAAGCTCTGAATTTCCCAGTGACTTGGAAATGACCTGCCTTCCCAGACATTAGACTCCAAATGAAGAGAGAAAAAGCACCTGAGTTTCGCAAGTCTGTGTTTGCTCTGAAATTCTCTCAGACTTCACTCACTAGAAATCTGAGAAGACCAGGGCAAATCTCAAAAATAATATCCCAAAAGAGAGCAGAACTAGTAGACATCTCTTGGCCCCAGCTGTAAGCAGAAGTTAAAATGGCTTTATATTATTTCTAGAAGTTTTATTAATTACTGCAATAGGAGGCAAATATGAAGCTTTGCCACCTCTTTTACTTACATTTTGTTAAATTCATTCTGGAGCAGAGATCTTTGGACTTCACTGGCCCACTGACTTGATACCTTTACAGTATGTATATAAAGGATGTGATTCAGCTATAGTGCATAAAATAATCAACACCTTTTTGCCACCTGATTTCCCATGATATACCTTGCCTATGTATTTCATACCCTTACAGTTGAAATCTTGTTTTCCTAAAAGAAGTCCTTTCCCCTTCTATTAAAGCTCATAAGCTGCATTCTAAAATGCACTAATAAGAGAGCTGGTTGGAAGGACATCAGACATGCTCTTTCATCAAAGGATGCATTTTGTTAAAAAATTATAAAAATCCACACAAAATCCAATTATATTTCCAAAACAAAAGTGTTGAAAAACATTTTGGCTTCTTGGGAGGGAGAGGGGGGAGTTCTGCTGGGATAGAGCATGTTATTCCAAGAGTATAAAGGTATTTCATTTTTGGTTGTTTCTTTTTCTTTCTCTGTTAATGCACTGTATGTGTTATTTTCCTTATTCATTGAAAATGTACCTATTTCAAGCATATATTAAGTTCTAACATCTCAATATTAAAAAATAGAGCTTTTAACCTTATAAAAGATTCAGTGTCTCAGTCAAGTAGAAACAAAATGTTTTGATGTTTCATATTTGCTGTCCAGTTCCCTTGGATATTTCAAAGTTTTGACTTGGGACTGAGAGTGCTAACCAATCTGAAAAATTCCCTGAGGAAAAGAGATTATCTGCTGCATGTGGGTGTAGCTGCAGCCTCTGCACAGAAAACTCCAACGCAAAGGAGATGTCACAGCGGGATAAGAAAACTGATGAAAGCAATAGTGCTTCGCAGAAGCTTGGCACTTTAGCTGGACTCTAAACCTAACTGTCATTGTGTGATCCACAGCACTATTATAAACAGGTTGTGAAACCTTCAATCAGTGATGAGACTTCTGAAATGAGGAAAAAAAAATTACACAGCCATGAGAATAAGTAAATAAACACCAACCATGAGAAAACGTTGAGGTTACTGCAGCACTAAATGCCTCATCTTTATTTTAGCAGTGTGGCTGCATATTAATTCCATATATTGCTAAACACTTCACTGTGGTGGAGTGGTGCAAGTGCTAGTGGTGCAAGTGCATCATTCTATTTTTAAAAATATTACTCAGTAAAAACAGCATTCTACCTCAATTGAGTTGAAGCTGAGATTTGGATGGACCTGCAGTGTTATCATTTGAATCAGACGATTTACGTACCAGTCAGGTGAGAACTAGCAAGACCTAGGTACAGGTAGTCAGTTCTAATGGCAAAAAGATATTTGGCTTCACATAAAGATATAGATATTCTTTTCAGATCCTTTTTTTCCCACTCTTTTCAGGGTAGGAGACGATCCCTGTGGGAAACAGGAAGGATAAGAGCTGCTTGAAAGTCAGTAAAGCAGTTTCATTCCCAGATCTTCCTTTCGGTCAGAAGACAGGAAAGAATGGATGTCCTCAGCCACACTGCAAAGGGCTGGTGGATGGGGCAGCAGCTGAAGCAGAAAGAAAAGCAAAGCTGACCAATCCTCAGATTAGCCTGACCCTCAAAGCCAGTGAGCTGCTTCATGGGCGATTTCACGACTAAGCCTTGAATGATCCAAAGAGCCTTTAAAGATTGTCTCTCACTTGTTTTGCTTGTTCATGAGAATATGTTGCTCCTGGGAAGTGATGTGGCCAGCATGTTGTGAGTCATGAATTGCACTGATTGCAAGCACAGCTGGGAATCCTCTTCAGCCATTCCCAATTGCTTCCTTTCTCTAGCCTATTTTATCATTTGATTTTTTACTGGCAGAAAAAAAAAGTTACATTAAAAATAGGGCTTTGTTGCTTTTTCTGGCCCCAGCACTCCTTGGCAGCTGATTTTACTCTCCCTTTCTTTTTATTTTTTTTAATTCTTCATTTCTTTAGAGAGCATCAGACCACCCTTCTCTGCCCAGAAAGCCTCTCTGCTCCTTGCTGGTCTGTTCACTTTCTGTAGCGATTCTTATTTGCAGCAGATTGCCCCTGAACACCACCACCACTCCACCACCCCGGCCCCCCCTTCCTTCTTTCCCATTCTGTGTCCTGCCCTGCTCTTGCATATCCACCCATTTTGTATACGGTCTCAGTGCTGGAAATATCTTTAGTTAAGCCTTCTTATTGGCTTTCCAAGAGAACTGGTAACTGAAACCCTGGCACTGTAACTCAGTAAAGCCTTTTTTGTGTTCTTCTTTGGTCCTTTCTATACAAAAGCCCAGAAATTTTCCCTGCAGGCTTGTAATTGTGCTGCCATTATAAGATAGCTCTTTTAAACGAATCATCTGAAATGCCCATCTTTCTGTGCTCTGTGTTACTGTGTGTCAGAAAGAGCAAAGCTCCCTCTCTCCTTGCTGTGCAGACATCCCGATGCAGAAATTAAGCTGTGCAAATCTATCTCGTCACAATCCAAAATAAGAAACGAGCCTCACACCAAAGTCAGTGAAGTCTCCCACGGGCTTCAGATGGCTTTGAGTCAGATCCTAAGGGCAAAGCTGAGATCTAGGCACCATTCAACTTCCTCTTTAAACAAATTAATTGATGGGAATAGCTATTATTCATTATCAGAAGAGCAGTAGCTACCTTGGAAAATTTCTCCTCATTCTGGGAACTGCTTTGCAACAAGGGATTTAAACACCAAGTCCCACTCGCTTCCCCTCTCCCTCACATGTACCAGACAGCTGCCCCTGGCAAAAGGAGTCCTGCACTAAGCACTGCCTTTCAGCTCAACAGTTATTTTGCCTGCAGCCCAAGCAATATTTGACACATATTGTATCCTGTTTCTGCTGCGTCAGCAGTGTTGTGTAAACACGTTAGCTCATCGAGGCATGAAACTCACAATTGTTTTCCCACTTGCAAAACAAACCACGTCCAATAAACCCAGGGGACGAGCCGGTTATTCAGATTTCTACTTCAGCACAAGAGAAGTGGTTAATAAAGTTACTATTCTCCTTTGTGTTCTGTCAGCTGCCTCTGATAGTATGAAGTGTTGCTGACATGGCAGGAATAGATGACATTGCCTTTCAGGAGCCCCTTCCTATTCCCTCTGAGGGGACTAAGCAGGTTGAGGAGACTGATAGGTTGTCTCTCCTGATGGTAACAGGGGTCTGGTTCCCTTTCTGTTCAGTGCATAGCAGAGGAAACAAAGCACAACAGCACCGCCTGCAAATCCTCCTTAGCTGGGACTGGCTGCTGGTCATGCTTGCTGGATCCCAGGCTTGGCTGCTGGAGGGCTGATTTCATCTGGAGCAGACAGCAGTGAGGTGAGGCAGATAGGTGGAAGTAACATGAGGAAGAAGAAGCAGAAGAGGGAATGTACACAAAACAGTTAGTCCATGTGGATCTGCTAGCTAGCAGAGCCCACTCCAGGCAGACTCCCACCCATTTCTGAGTGTTGCAGGCTGGGAAGCAGCAGGAGCAGCCAGGTGATATATTTACCATTCTCCTATCTTAGACACACTGCTGCAGACACAGCATTTCAAAATGCCTTTTAGCCCTGCAGATGATGAAATCATGGTGGCCTGAATTCTTCCCACCTACCTGTGGGCACTGAACTCTTTCACTGACTTGGGAGGATCAGAGAGAGACAGACAGGTATCAGTACAAAGCTATGCAAATATAGGGTAGGAAGAGGTGCCCTCTACCAGTACCTTCCTCTCCACAAACAGACTGAGGTCAGGCAGGACATATCTGAGAGGCTATGAATGTATTTTATCCTCTGCACTGACTTCTTTGCTCCTGGATGCAGTTCTAGGTTTTTGTTGCGATTGATCACTTGAGGTCTCACACAGACTTTATCTAGGGCACTAGCTGAAACCAGATGAGGTGCTGACAGCAGCATCCCCTTTGCTACCCCAGCTCTCTCATGGTTTGTGGTGGGAGGTTGCTGCTCACTTACCCTCCTACCTGTTGTTCCTCCAGGCTCCTCTGAACACCTTCAAATTACTTTGTAAGCAAAACAAGACAGAACCGAACCCTTCCTAAAGGGTCTTTATAGTTAGAGATGTGGTTTTGTGCAGATTCACCTGGCCTACATGTCACCTGCTTTCCCAGTACTATTACTTGCTGTAACACTGGTTCTTCTGAAAGACTGTGGGAATACTCATCCTATGCCCAGTAGAGTCTTGGATTCATTACTATAGGTCTTTGTTTTGGGGGAAGAGGAATGAAGAAACTTTAAACTTCTGGATATTTTTCCTTTTGTTAAATCCCTTTTTGAGTGTCAACATATATTCTTTTTATATCTGTCTCTTTTTTATATCAACAAATATCTTCATATGTGAGCCAAGAGTATTGAATACCTTTCAGCAAATCAATAATGAAATAATATCTTAATAAGATTCACTGAGTCTTTTTCCGTTATAATATTTAAGCTCAGATACTATGAACCAGTGAGTTTTAAACAGCCTGTTTGCTAATTGGTATGTGGGTCTGTCATTTAGCCCTGGCTATAATTGACCCTATTACCTCAACTATCTCACAGGCTATTGCCTAATAATTCCTCAGGGATGGAGACAGAGGCTGCACCTGGTCCTTCTTTACTATCAGAAAGCACAGCCCTGAAGTTGAGCTGAAAGGGGGAATTACACTGAACTGCAGAAATGTTACATATAGGTAAGCTGTGGTTTTCAGGACTTTATCCTTCTACAGTAAAAGTATATGGTACATGGTTTATAGACTTTGTGCTCCAAAGATGGAAGGAAAGTACAAAATCAGTTACATCCTGGGAAACAGCTGTTTCAAACTTGTTCTTGCTTTTATTAGGCATTATTATTTATATGTCAGAATAAGCAAAGTATATAATTTCAAAAGTGGGTATGTTCTATGCATACCATAAAGCAATTGCTAGCAGATGACTGAAACTCAGAGTAAAACATATAAGTAAACGTAAGTCTTCTGAGTTAACCTATGAAGCTTTACACACATTGGATAGCAACACAGCTGTCAGTTCAGGGTAACAGAATTGTATCTGGACTGAATTTGACACACTTACCATAAAACTACTAATTCAGCTACTGTCTAGGGCAGCAAAGTCCATATGAACAAGTCATTTTCTCCAGCCAAAGATCACAAACTATTGGGAAAAAATGTGAGGACTCGCATCAATTTTTATTAGATTCAGAGTTTAACCTCATGGGGGGTTTTGTTAACTTGAAGACATGTGTATTTCAATGCTCTTACAATATTGAGTGACATCCCTCCCAGTGAATCTGCCAAAAGTACACCAAAGTGATTTTAAAGAAAATAAATGCTATGTTGCCCTGGCACATGCAGTAGGTTCCCACTCCTCTGAGGGGGATTCTGAAGTTTGAATGCCTGAAGGGGAGTAAAATGCACCTATAATTGCTGTTCTAAAGCCCTTTATTTAATCGGTGTAAACATGCTGCAGCGCCACTAGGAATCAGATACCCTACATTTGACAGTCCGATAATTACTGAATATTCTGAGGTGCTTTTCCCTTCTGACTCCTGATTTGGTGACTGAATCCTCCTGAAAAGCCACAGGACAGAATTATCCCACTGCATGAGGTAACTTTTACTTTGGGATCTCAAGGTATGCGTCAGAAATGTCAGGGGTCTGAGCTTCGGGGGTTTAACCTTTCATAGCAAGCTGCTGGGAAACAGAAATATATTGCAGTCAAGTAGTAAATCCCAGCTAAAGGTGCACAATCTTCCACTATTCTGGTCTTCTTTTACCCTCAGGATCAACTTTTGCTTTTAGAAACACTAATGGTTAAAACCTATTGAATCTTGGATGAACATTTACAAGAAGGGAGCATTTGTCCTCAAATACCAAAGGCTTTTGAAAAGCTCTGTCGCTTCCCTCAGATGATGGAAAACAGCATTTGTGGAAGAAATACTATTCTCTAATGAGTGCCTGCTTTAATCCAGAGGACACCAGAGGCTAAATAAACTGAGTGGGTCTAGCCAAATGTGCATACAGTTCACATAGGCCTTGCTCAGGCTAATGGATCATTGTTATGCCAGGATATAATGGATAGATTGGC